ATACTATAATAATTATAGTACAATTAATGATTAAACTATTTTGCAAATAAAAAACATTATTGTCCCATTATTATAACTTTACTTGGAAAGTGAGGCGCTAAAAACCTATCTGCGACCCGAAGTTTAGCCTATTTAATTTTGGCCCTTACCTACTACCAAGTTGTGTAGGACTGGTTTAGAACTTAGTTTCTGGTGTCAAAGCTAATATAAGAGGAAGTAGATGTGTTCACACTCTTACCAAACACAGTGTTTTTTATATGTCACAGATAAATGTTGGATTTACTACTGATAAAGTTTTTCCCTTCTAAAGGAAGATTTTCAATACTGACCCAACTTCTGCCCAAAGACCTAAAGATCACAACAACACAATCAGCTCTATGCTTGATAGCACTATATCTGGACAAATAACTTCCTTCAGTATGAAATATTTGAGTTAATGCTTGAAAGAAAAAAAGATTACCCATTTTGATACAGAATCACCATCTTCTTCGGTAATACAATGTTTATGGAATGCCATGAAATAAGATAGTGACATCCCCGCAAAACAGACTTTGACAGACACATTCCCACAAGGGGTATCTGACTGCTCCTGTTGGAAGATAACAAATTTGTTACTATCAACCCATCTGCTACTATGTAAGCTCTAAAAACAAGCATGTGCAACCCTTCTTAAGACCAAAAGCTTGTAGTAATTTGAGATACCTGCTATAATGTTCACACATGACAAAATGTATCATCAACCCCAAAACAAATTACTTTGTTAAACAAGCACATTCCATATTTACATGATGTGGCAGTGCAACTTTGGGAACCCTAGAGGAAACAGACTATTTAAACTCTTGGTAGTCTTATTTCAGGCCAGGGTACGTCCAAAAAACTGCACTGGTTGTACTTGTAGATGACCTTTGGAGAGGCTAGGATCAGGGGAGTACAACCTTCCTGGTCATCTTTGAACAGCTTTCAATACCAACAACCATGATATCCTTCTGGACTAACTCTACAGGATCAGAGTGAGGAGCAGTGTTTTTCAGTTCCATCAGTGCTGGTGGGGGAAGTGAGATCTCCCCTGACACCTCTACTGTGTAGAGTGCCTCAGGGCTTTTTACTCTCGGCCTGAGTCAGTATCAACAGTATGCCAATGATACCAGTTATGCATCTTGGCCCTGGGCCAAACAGGTAATAAGGTAGAAGTGTTAACCCAGTCTCTGAAGGGGCTGAATCAGGAGGAACAGACTCAGACTGAATCCCTCCAAGATGGAGTGCTTTGACTGTGGACCAAATGATTCCAGGGTTGTGCTTTCTTTGTTTCTAGATGGGATTGTGCTCCACTCGCAGGTGGTGTGCAATCTGGGAGTCCTACTGGACTTGTAGTTTAGTGTAGTGTAGCCTAATGAGCAGATAGTGGTATGGCCAGAATGGATTTTGTACAGATACATCTTGTGCACCAACTGCAACCATTCCTGGATTGGGAGACACTACTCAAGGTCATTCATACCTTACTCACCTCTGGCTTGTATTACTGTAATATGCTCTACATACGGCTGCCCTTGAAAAGATTTGAAAGCTGGTACAGAATGCAGTGGTCCAGGCAGTGATGGGTTTATCCTGATGTACTGGGTGACCCTACTGCTCCAGAAGCTGCATTAGCTACCAGTCAGCTTCTGGGTGCAATTCAAGGTGCTGGTTGTCATCCTTAAGGCCCCATGTCGTTCTGTGCTAGGTCATTTGTTGAACTCATCAAGAAAATTGGATGGGCAGATGCGTTCTCTTCTCACTCTTTTCTTTTTACTCAAGAGACTGCATCTGCCCATCCAATCCAGTTGAATAAGGTCAACTGTGAGACTAGGCTGAAGCTGCCATAACCTAAAGATGAAGCAGGCACGTAAGCAG